CATTATTGTGCTCCTTTTTTTAATTCTCTGACATTCTCCACTTTTCACTCTGTTTAATTCTACTCTGCTAATTTACTATAAGAAGCTTTAAATTCTTATACAGAATTGTGTTTGCCAGGATTGGTGGAAACAATGTGCTAGAAAACTAGGGTAACGGCTTGTCACATTTTTGACTTAGGAAGAGAGAATTTGCCTTATTTGTTTCCTATTTCCCTAAAGCTTTGAGAGGAAACTTGCCTCCAGCAACTTAGCTGCCTAACTCTTCCACGTCCATCTTCTGGATGTCACCTGCTAAGGTAAGGAGCCTGAAAAAGCCTGGACACTGTATGTATGGGTGGCCTTTTGTTTACGGCAGACAAAGACAAAATCCTCTGGATTACTTGAAGATATCATATAACACACAAGATGGAGCTACTATTATTCTCTTCTAAGACATATTGTGTTTCCCTTGGGCAGAGAAAAGTACACGCAGCCAATCCTGGGAGGGCAGGTCCTATTAAAGATTTATGCAAGCCTGAATTATTTGGCTTTAAACTTTGTCTTTTTCCATTTTTTAATAAGAAGGATGCTTTCTTTAGACACTGCAACCTGAAGTAGATGGTATCACCTGTAATCCTTGGCTTAGGCAGAGAGCTTCTAAATGGATTGAATTAGGTGCAAGACAGAACTGTTTTTTTCTTTCTTTCCCTCAAGGCCCACCATTACTTTTTCCCTGTTGTTTGTGCTTTTAAGGATTCCACTAATGCAGCGTTCAAGGTGGGACTTAAAATTCTATGTCTTTCAAGCCTCTTCTTCCAAAAAGCATGTTTAGAAGTGGTTGATGCCTGTAAACATTTTATCAAAGCTCGGTCCTTTGATTTTGCATTTAAGAATGGATATCGTAAAAGTGATTTTTGGGGGTGGGAGGGTGAGCAGGAAAAAAGGCAATCCGTAACATTAATGCAGCAGGAAGCTCTGTAAATTTATAATTTGAGATCATTTAAAACTTGATTTATTTATATTCCATGTCATTTCAGCTATTAGTTCAGTTCAAGTACTCAAAAGTATAGTTATTGGGAGGATTATTATAGATTGTTACTTCCACTTTAACTATTTTTGAAATAGCTTCATTCATAAAGTATGAATATATTTACTCCCATTTCAAAATTCCGGGTACTCCCAACAGAAAACAAGGACTCGGTCAATCCTGAGAAACTGAGTTTTACAAATTCAATGTAATTTAGTAGCTTGAAATATCAGAATTTTTCTGTATGTAGTTAGCCTCTTGAATATGGCAAACAAGCTGTATGTTAAACAGCTCTATAGAAGATTAGTTTATTGGTTGGTCCAGAACAATAGCCTGGCAGATAATCAAGCCAGATTTGTGGATAAATAAATACTTCCATAATTTACTAGAAAAATGTATCAACCATCTTTATTACTACATATGTTGTAATATTTAACGTATGTTTATGTTATTTAATATTGAAATATCTATTCTGAATTTCTTTGGGATTTTTGCAAGTTTTATAATAGGTATTTATGCCCCTGTTGAAATTAGAATATGGACTTAATTTTATGTAGGCTCCATATTGCTGTCTGAAATTTTGAGTTAAATTAGTTTTTTGGGAGATGGGGCAGTGGTGGGTTGCTCCCGGTTCGCACCGGTTCGCAAGAACCGATAGTAAAAATTTGTAGAACTTCGGAGAACCGGTAATAATATTGGCTGGCCACGCCCCCGAACCAATCCCCGGCCCGGTTGCCGCTCGCTTACCCTGCCCACCTCATCAGAGTTTTTTTATTTATTTATTTACTTTTAAAAGCATTTTTTCTGCAACCTCTTTGGCCGAAGAGGTTGTAGAAAAAAAAAAGGCTTTAAAAGCCTATGGCGATCTGATGGGGAGGGTTTCTGGTAGCTTCCTGACTTCACTGACCTTACAGAATAATTTTTTGTCATCAGAGAAGGAAGCAATGGATTTTGATTTAAAATTGTAGAGCTTATCAGTTCAATATCTGACCCTGATTAGCCTCAAGAGGACCACGACAGTGCTGAAGCATTGGGTTCTTGACAACGACATTCAGAGAGATCTAAGTACAGTATATCCTCCCCTCTCTCTGTGAGACAGGTTTGCTTAAGAGATCTTTATCCAATGGCAAATAATGAGCCAATTTTCTATAGTCAACTTATAGGACAACATTCACACTTGCTAAATTCAATGTTTAACCTTATTCATTGCTAGAAAGAAGATTTAACAGCATTCCAGTGCAAAAGCAGCTTTACTCCTGCCTGTTGGGCAAAATGGAAATATCACATCTGTTTCTGTAATGCTCAACGTCATATTCTACCTACAGACTTATATATCATCATCTCCTTTTAATGACCCCATAATCCCTTGCGTGGTGGAGTCTGTGCAACTGAATGGAACTGAGTGCTTACTGGCCGGATGCCCTTCCTGTCCCCTATGCGGAATTTTATTCTCATCATGCCTGGAGAGAAATATCTGCCTTTACCTAGGATCGAACCCATAGCCTCCTGATCATGAGGCAAGAGCTCCACTTCTAAGCCACTGCACCAGTCACACACACACACGTGTATGTATTAATAAATGTTTAAAATATTGTATTTGGTTAAGTGCAAACAAGTCTCTTCTTTCTTTTGGTCTTCAACAATAAGTGAAAAAAAATTATCTGTGTGTTGATTGTGCCAAACACCTAACTTTGTCATATTATCCCTTTTCAGGTAAGGCTGAAGCTTGTAAATGACAGATTTCTTAAGATTGCCTTCAGTGATGTTCTCATATCCTTTCCATTATGCCTTTTTACTGGCCTTGTAGTGAGATCTCCAGGACGGCAGACCTTTTGCTTCTTGAAAGTATAAGCTTATTTGGTCTGAAACCCTATTAAAGTAAATGTAGCAACTCAGTTTTTTCTGAAGAATTTAGGGAGCGATAGCAAGAGATAAGAGATAAGAGTTTAGGGAGCAATAGGAAGAGATGCAGTAGCTCAGTGGCTAAGACGCTGAGCTTGTCAATTGAAAGGTTGGGAGTTCAACAGTTCGAATTCCTAGTGCCGCGTAATGGGGTGAGCTCCCGTTACGTGTCACAGCTTCTGCCAACCTAGCAGTTCAAAAGCATGTAAAAAATGCAAGTAGAAAAATAGGGACCACCTTTGGTGGGAAGGTAACAGCGTTCCGTGCACCTTTGGCATTTAGTCATGCTGGCCACATGACCACAGAGATGTCTTCGGCAGCACTGGCTCTTTGGTTTTGAAACAGAGATGAGCACCACCCCCTAGTGTCAGGAACAACTAGCATATATGTGTGAGGGGAACCTTTACCTTTAGGAAGAGATAATGATCAAAGAGGTTGAAAATATAGGATGAACTATTTTCTGTATATTTGATAATAGAAGTTCAAAGAACAAGGGAAATCTTTCTGTGGCTTGGGAACAGCAAAAAACTTTAAATTTGGAAGAAGCAAGGCAACCATAGAAAATAGTTGCAAGAGAAATTTGACTAAACTAAATAATATTCGATCAGGTAGTTTGTTCACAACCAATGAGTTTTTAATTGAGAAAAAGAAATAAACATAGTATAATGTTGTGGTTCTAGAATGAAAATGGAGCTGTGTAATTCATGTACTTTCAATGAGAGGAAGAGGTTTACTATTAAAGAGCTTTCACAACAATTCCCTGCAAAAAGTTACCCTGCGGTAAGATGGGCAGCCAATAAATTTTATAAACAATTAAATAAAATAAAAGCAACAGGTGCCCGATCTACTAATGTTGTTAATTCCATTTGCACATGAAACTCACACAATCTTCTTTTACAAACCAAGACACTGGATGAAATTTTAGGGGAAAATGTGAGTGATAATATATAATTTATACTATATATAAATTAATCATGACATTTGAAGTATCATTAATTTTCACAAAATTATTCATGAAAGCACCGCCCCAACCACTGGCATCATTAGTGTTCCTTTCCCATAGCAATATTAACTGTAATTCAGTTTGCCAAGTTGTCTCTTGGAATCAGCACCTCCAGCATCATTGTTGAGAAAGTTTATGCTTATTCAAATTATACTTTCTGGGAATTGTGTTGGAATTGGAGCATGAAAATTCAGATTTAATTTCTGCTTGACCACGGAGCTTACTGGATAACTTTCTCTGAACCTAAATTGTTTCCTGGGATTACTGTAGAGAAAATGTTGAGCAGATTCTCAAGACCTTGACCTTCTAGAACAGAAGTGTCAAACTTGTGGCCCACAGGCTGGATGCATCATACACTGGCCATGCCCATGCCCTGTTTAGCGAAGGGGAAAAAAAGTTGTGATACGTCACGTGACTCCACCGTGACGACATGAGTTTGACACCCCTGTTCTAGAGCAGGGGTATCAAACTCGCAATAACACGTCGTCATGTGACATATCGCAACTTTTTCCCCTTTGCTAAAATGGGGGGTGTGGGAGTGGCCAGTGCGTGACACATCCGGCCCACGGCCTGCGAGTTTGACACCCCTTTCCTAGAGAAAAGAGAGTCAATAAATTAATTAAACTAAATTAAATAGTAATTATAACATTTTCCTTTGGTGAGCTAAGATTAATATCATGAATCAGGGTTCCAAGGACTCTCCCTCCAAACACACAGAGAAAAGAACCACAATTCCCCCTAAATGTAAAGCTGCACCTGTACTTTTGCCAGGTGGGTGAATAACCGCCACTGGAGCTGTTATTATCTGTTCTCTTTTCCACAGCAAACAGAAGAGACCAGAGAAAGAAGTATAGCTGCAATAGTGCACTTTCCATTTCTGTGGAGAGGTGCCACTAATATCTTTGTGTTAACAATGCTCAGGTTCAAATATTTTCTCCCTGACACCGCTACCATCACAATCAATGATGATCATATCTGCAGGGGGTGGAAACAAAGTACTATATATATATTTCTTTCTCAGAATTGATGCAAGAGCATATTTGTGTTGCTCTGGTTGCCCGGCAACCATGATCTCTTCTCTTGGTCTGACAGTTGCTTTTTTTTTTTTAACAAGGAGCCAGCCATAACATAAGGAGCATTGATCCTCAACTTATTATCAGATCTTGCACACACACTTTCAAAAGCTAATCACATATAATATTGCTGCTGAAGGCTTGCTTTACGCTTCATTACACTTCTGTGGCTAAGTTTCTAGACAGGATTGTGGTGGTTTGTAAAGGTACCCAGGAAGAATTGTGCCGCTCTCATTCAAACTATTAGAACATTTTTTCTTATTATTATTTATGGGAGGCATTATTGTGTAATAGTTAACCATAAAATTATTTTTGAATTTTTATAAAAGCATCTAGGTAGAGTCAAGAGCCTCGGTGGTGCAGCGGACTAAAGTGCTGTTAAGTACTAGCACTTAGCTGCCAGCTGCCTGCAATTAGTGCAAGTTCGAATCTCACCAGGCTCAAGGTTGACTCAGCCTTCCATCCTTTCGAGGAAGGTAAATTGAGGACCCAGATTGTGGGGGCAATAAGCCAACTTTGTATATAACAACACCACTTGGGGGGGGGGGCGAAAGCCCTAATAAGCAGGTATATACAAAAAAGTATGCAGGCTATTGCTATAATGCATTGTAAGCCGCCCTGAGTCTACGGAGAAGCGAGCTGCACTGGCTCCCGGTGGTCTTCCGTATGCACTTCAAGGTTTTGGTTACCACCTTTAGAGCGCTCCATGGCTTAGGACCTGGTTACCTACGGGACCGCCTGCTGCCACCAATAGCCTCCCACCGCCGGTACACTCTCATAGAGAGGGGCTTCTCCGGGTGCCGTTGGCCAAACAATGTCGACTGGCGCCCCCAGGGGGAGAGCCTTCTCTGTGGGGGCACCTACTATCTGGAATGAGCTCGCTCCGGAGATACGGAAGATCCCGGATCTGCGCACCTTCCGCCGCACTCTTAAGACCTTTTTATTCCATCAGGCTGGCCTGGCCTAATCTTTTTCCCTTTTTTCCCTTTTTAAAATGTAAATTTTAATCTGTTTTAAATTATTGGGGTGTTTTAAATCTGTCTTGAGCCAAATTGTTTATTCGGTTTTACTTTGCTTTTAAATTTTGTATTTATATGTTTCATCGCATATTAAGACCTACCTAGTGGCGATAAAGACGGCAAAGTTTAATTACTTTTCCGCCTCTATTGCATCATCAGGGAATCGTCCGGCAGCCCTGTTCAGGGTAACCCGCTCCCTGCTCCATCTGGGAGCGCGGGAGGATCCCTTGGAAGGCAGGGCGGAGGATTTCGGACAATACCTGTATGACAAAATCGCTCAGATCCGGGGGGACTTGGACTCTGACTGGGTAGATCAGGGCAGGGTGACGAGGAATAGTCTTGAGAATGTTATCTGGGAGGAGTTTGATGCTGTGACTCCCGATGATGTGGACAGGATTTTGGGGAGACTTAGTGCGGCCACATGTTTACTGGACCCGTGTCCCTCCTGGTTGGTACTGGCCTCCCAGGAGGTTACACGAGGCTGGCTCCAGGGTGTTATCAACGCTTCATTGAGTGAGGGTCACTTCCCCGCGGCCTTGAAAGAGGCAGAGGTGAGGCCTCTCCTCAAGAAGCCGTCCCTGGATCCGGCAATATTGGCTAACTATCGTCCTGTCTCCAACCTTCGCTTTCTGGCAAAGGTTGTTGAGAGTGTGGTCGCACGACAGTTTCCGCAATTCCTGGAGGAAACATCCTATCTGGATCCGTTCCAGTCTGGTTTCAGGCCGGGGCACAGCACGGAAACGGCATTGGTCGCGTTGGTTGATGATCTCTGGAGGGCTCAGGACAGGGGTTGCTCCTCTGTTCTGGTCCTGTTAGACCTCTCAGCGGCTTTTGATACCATCGACCATGGTATCATGCTGCACCGGTTGGAAGAGTTGGGGTTGAGGGGCACCGTTTTACGGTGGTTCTCCTCCTTTCTCTCCGACCGGTCGCAGTTCGTATTGGCAGGGGGACAGAGGTCGACCTCAAGGCCTCTTATATGTGGAGTGCCTCAGGGGTCGGTCCTCTCGCCCCTCCTGTTCAACATTTATGTGAAGCCGCTGGGCGAGATCATCCGTGGCTTTGGGGTGAGATACCATCAGTACGCTGATGATACTCAGCTGTACATCTCCACCCCAGGCCACCCCAATGATGCCTTTGAAGTGATGTCCCAGTGCCTGGAGGCTGTACGGATCTGGATGGGGAGGAACAGGCTCAAGCTCAACCCTTCCAAGACTGAGTGGCTGTGGTTCCCGGCATCCCGATATAGTCAGTTGACTCCATCACTGACTATTGGGGGCGAGTCTTTGGCCCCCACAGAGAGGGCTCACAATCTGGGAGTCCTCCTGGATACGCAGCTGCCCTTGGAGGAACATCTGACGGCTGTAACCAGGGGGACCTTTTATCAGGTTTGCCTGATCCGCCAGTTGCGGCCCTTTCTTGATCGGGATTCCCTGTGCACAGTCACTCATGCCCTTGTGACCTCTCGCCTTGATTACTGTAATGCTCTCTACATGGGGCTCCCCTTGAAGAGCACCCGGAGGCTCCAACTGGTCCAGAACGCAGCAGCGCGGGTAGTGACGGGAGCAGCATGGCGCTCCCATGTAACACCGCTCCTGCGCGAGCTGCACTGGCTCCCAGTGGTCTTCCGGGTGCGCTTCGAGGTGTTGGTTATCACCTTTAAAGCGCTCCATGGCATAGGGCCTAGCTATCTCCGATACCGCCTGCTGCCACCGACGACCTCCCATCGACCCGTGCGCTCCCACAGAGAGGGCCTCCTCGGGGTGCCATCAGCCAAACAATGCAGGCTGGTGACCCCCAGGGGGAGGGCCTTCTCTGTGGGCGCTCCCACCCTCTGGAATCAGTTGCCCCCAGAGATAAGGAGAATCCATGACCTCAGTGCCTTCCGCCGTGCCCTTAAAACCTTCCTTTTCCAACAAGCCAGGCTGGCCTAATTCTTTTTAAGTGTTTTTAATTGTTTTGTTTATTGTTTTAATTAATGGGGCCAAATTTATATATATATATATTTAACTGTATTTTAATATTCATATTTTGATGTTTTTATTTGGCTGTTCACCGCCCTGAGTCCTCAGGGAGAAGGGCGGTATACAAATTCAAAAATAAAATAAAATAAAAAATAAATCTTGTGGCTGTTCACCGCCCTGAGTCCTTTGGGAGTAGGGCGGTATATAAATCAAATAAAATAAAAAAAAATGAAATAATATACAAGACTGGCAAAATTTTCAAGTAATTTTTAAAGGTATTAAAATTTGTATTCATTTACTGTACTGTACTTTTATAGCTTTTTGCTACACATGGTAGGCATCTTTGTCCGATTTATGTCATGTTTGTTTGTTTGTCTCCCAGTGCTTACTAAATAACAGACTGAAATAATTGATTTATTAGCACCATGGCTTATGAACCACAGCTGACTTACTAGACTCATAGCTTAAGAGCCACATTTCTGGTCCACATCAGATGGTTCAGGGCTTCTAACACAGGTATATCTTCAAATACTGCAAAATTTTACCACTAGTACAAATACTATTAATTTTACCCCATCCATACCTGTACTTATATTGAAACTTATTTTATATAGCACACGTTTTTCAAAATACTGCACAGCACTTCATGACAAAAACAAAAACACACAAATATATGTACTGTATATAAATGAAAAGCACAAAAACGTGCATATGAAAATCATGCAAAAATGCAAAAAAGAACATTTTACATAGAATGTTTTAAAACAATTGTGCAATCTCAGATTCAAAATGGTCTTAACTTTGGAAGCATTTGTCTGAACTAAAGTTTGAAATTTCCACCTATTTCCTAGTTCCTCCTCTTATGCCTTTAAAAGACATAAATTGCTTAAAAAACCAATATTTATGTTTTATATATAGATTCAGCTGTATATATAAGATTACTTGTGCCTGTTGTAATTGTATAAAGTCTTTGTATAATGTCCTGCTTAACTTTAGTATAAACCCAATATTTCTCTAATCCATGCTGTATTATGGCTATATTTTTGAAATTACTTTGAAATAATTATTCTACGAAAAATAAATTCATAGCATTTTTATTTTTTCCCAATAACTTATATGTAACTGTACACATTGTAAAGTTTTAGAGGACTGTTAGGTTCCATATATCTTATGGAATTCTTCATTCTTTGCATTTAATTTAATTAATATTTGAATTCTTTCAAGTTAAAAATCTTATTTTGCACAAAACTATAAAAAAGTTTACAAATGTAAATTGAATGATAATGAATGTTTAAATTAATTGAAAATATATTTTGTTTCTAAGGGGGAAGGAAGGAAGGAAGGAAGAAGAAAGAGAGAGAGAGAAAGAAGGAAGGAAGGAAGGAAGGAAGGAAGGAAGGAAAGAAAGAAAGAAAGAAAGAAAGAAAGAAAGAAAGAAAGAAAGAAAGAAAGAAAGAAAGAAAGAAAGAAAGAAAGAGATCACATGGGTATATATATCTGGAAACAATATGCCAATTAAACTTGACTGAAAACTACTGTTAGTGTCTTTCAATTAGCACAGAAAACTCAGTCATTTGTAAATGTATCTGTTAAGTATGCATTAACAAATTAAGCATTAAGACTCCACAGAGACGTTAACTATTGTAACCATAACATCATAGTATTGTTGGAAGGATACATTATGCTTCAAACCTCTATCTGCAAAAGTGCAGGATTCATCTTAATTTCCTCCTTTCACACGGTTCAGCTCTTTGTCTATTTGGGAAAGGAATAAGAATGAATCATCTCTGTCTACACTGCCTTCTACATCCACCATAGTTCAGACCCATTCACCTGAATATTATGGACTATCAAGAGCAATTTGTCACTTCTTACAAAACAGTCTTTTCAGACCTCCCACACTGATATCTCTACTTCAGAACTGTGTTTTGAAATCCATCATTCCAATATGTACAAAACATATTAACAGCTTCTATAAGTTCCTTGATGAACTTAGTGTAATAATAATTGTAAATTCTTTCCTTGTAAGCATTTACAGCTCAATCACAGAGTATCACACATGTGGGAAACCATGTTGTGTGTATAAGGTTTGACAAACCTACCTGAAGCACAAAACAAACAGCTAGACAAGGAGAGCTGCTAGTGTGATAAGATCATCCAAACCACATAGGCATAGAGTTCACAAAATCCGTCTTCCAGCGGTTAGAAGTTTATTGGATTGATTTTTTTTTTAGCAATAGATCCATTGCTTTCTATAGCTTTGTGTTCAGGAACAGTTTGCCTTTTATATCTTTCCTTGTCAATTTTAAAAATTAGCTTACTAACTTTTAAAATCAGTTCCTACTAAAAACATTCTTTACCACACAAACATCTGAAAAGTGATCTATTTATTAATGTTATGGGGCTCAATTTAATGTACTGAATATATATCTTTGTCTCATACTGATACTTAAAGGAAATGAACCCAGAAAATCGTTGTTGTTGTTGTTGTTGTTGTTGTTGTTGTTGTTGTTGTAATCATCTTGTTTTAGTTCACTGAAGAAAATGATCAGAAGTTTTTTCATAACAAACAGCCATGGCTGCAACAAACACCACAAAAGAAAGGTGCATCAGTGTTGTCACAGACTAATCTGTATTATAATTTGTTGTGACATGATGTGGCGAGACGTAAAGGCTGCACTTAATTTCTGTTTATTCATTTTACATCTTGACATCGCACCCAGAAGCCTGGTGTATTATCAGCTAATCTTGGTGGAGGACTTTAATTGCTTGATTGCTTTATATTTCAAGTGGTCTGGGTGTATGATGCCGACCAGGCCTGAATTCAAGAATCTGCTTTTAATTTACAGATTGAATAAACTACTCTTTTCTTTTTTTAAAAAAAAAAAGTGCATTTAGATGTCTGTATTGTAATGCTGAAAGGGACATGGTGGCTTAGTGGCTAAGACACTGAGCTTGTTGATCAGAAGGTCGGCAGTTCAGCGGTTCAAATCCCTAGCACCGCATAATGGAGTGAGCTCCCCTTACTTGTCCCAGCTTCTGCCAACCTAGCAGTTCAAAAGCAGGTAAAAAATGCAAGTAGAAAAATAGGGACCACCTTTGGTGGGAAGGTAACGGCGTTCCATGTGCCTTCGATGTTTAGTCTTGCCGGCTACATGACCACGGAGACGTTTTTGGACAGTGCTGGCTCTTTGGTTTTGAAACGCAGATGAGCACCGCCCCTAGAGCTGGAAACAATTAGCACGCATGTGGGGGGGGAACCTTTACCTTTACCTTATTGTAATGCTATTGCCCAGACTATTTCAAAACACTTACCAGGATTACCATAAAAAAAACACAAGAGAAAAAGGGCCAAAGGTCAAAAAATTCTTAAAGAATTCCTCTACAGTACACAAATGAATATTATTTTACAACCTATCTACAATATTTACAAAACATTCTCAATTTTGTTTTGTTTTTTTCATTTATTTATTTTGGCAGTTGTATAGCTGTTCAACAAACTATGTGACTCTAGACACCATAAAGCAGGGGTGAAATCCAGCAGATTCTGACAGGTTCTGGAGAACTGGTAGCAGAAATTTTAAGTAGTTTGGAGAACCGGCAAATGCCACCTCTGGCTGGTCCCAGAGTAGGGTGGGAAGGGTGATTTTGCAATATCCTTGTCCCAGGAATGGGGAGGGAATGGAGATTTTGCAGTATCCTTCCCCTGCCACGCCCACCAAGCCACACCATGCCCACCAAGCCATGCCTACAGAACCGGTAGTAAAAAAATTTGGATTTCACCACTGCCATAAAGGCAAAAGGTAAGGAAGTCCCTGCAGATTTTATTCTGCTAGTCATTGCCGACTATAAGGGGTGGTGTTCGTTTCCATTTCAAGGCCATAGAGCCAGCACTGTGCAAAGACATTTTCATGATCATGTGGCCAGCATGACGAGACAGAGCACTGTTACTTTTCCACCAAGTGGTATCTATTTATCTACTCATCTTTGCATACTAAGGTTGCAAATGCTAGGTTGGCAGGAGTTGTGGCAAGGACCAGAACTCACCCCGCTACATGGAGCTTGAGTCTTGTGCCTGGGCTGCCAGTTTTCCAGCCAACAAGCCCAGCATCTTAACTACTGAACCAATGTGCCTTGGGCAGCATGCAAAAGACAAAATCCACTTTTGGTCATAGCTGCCACCTGCTCTTTATCAGGAGCTATCACTCCAGTAGGCCCTCCAGACTACAGTACATGCAATCTAAGCAAGACAGTACAAATATGCACAGATTCAAAACTAAAATTTCACCAGTTACAGAATCCATGGGCCTACGACCCATAACTAATCACTTTTGTAACGTTTGAACCAAAGCCTATTCTTCCCCAACCAGACATCGACAAGCTCCAGATACCAAGGTAGAACCATGGCAGTTATACTTGGATGGCACCAGGATCCATGCACAAGAGTCCAAAGAGGTGCAACCTGGTTTAAAGTAGCTGCTACTCTCATTCCAAGCAGGGACCAAGAACTCAACCAAACTGAGATATGGGCAGCTAGCTTCAAACAGTTCGGCTTTGGGAATACTTCACAGACTTGGATGATGAGGTTGGGGAGGAACTTGGGCCAGTTCCAGAGTCTGGGGAAGGCTCTGATGGATGCTCTGCATTGGACACAGAGATAGAGCCAGGGCCGTCCGACATTTCCCAGCCACCGGACAGACAGCTGTCTTTGAAGGCTGAGATGAGTGAAGAGGAAGAACAGCTGAGACCTGTTCCAGATGCACGTATGCACAGAGCAGTTAGGAGAGGTGTACAATAGAGGACAAGGAGTCGATTCAGGAAGCAAAGAACACATGGACACTGAATGGCCCCTCCCTAGCTGGAGAATAAATAGAAGAAAAGGGGCGTGGTTGTCGTAGGAGACAACAGTTCGTATTTCTGAACATTTTGCTCGTTGTGTTTCGTGCCACAAAGACTGCTTGCCAGAACTTAATTTGTAGCCTTTCAGCTGGGAGCTCACGGCCTTGCAATTATCGGAAGGAACTGATAAGGTCTGTTACTGCCGTTAACTCCTTGAAGGACTATTGCCTGGACTTTTTGGTGGATGAATGCAATTAATTCTCAACAGGTAAATAAAGAGGGGGGTTTTGTGACAAGGAGTCTGTTTCTTGCTTCTGCTAAGGCTGGGTCAGTACAATTCTGTCCATGTTGTTTTTATGGCCTGTCAGCCGCCGCTCCTCCAGCAGCCAAATCAGAGGAGGAGGAGGCGTGAAAGTCAGGGTCAGCATCAAGGCAACCTGAGAGGTCCAAGTAGGAAGAGAGAATGGAGCTGGCGGAGAGAGAGAGACAGAGGCGGAGCTTAGTAAAGGAATCTTTGAGTTTCAGAGGGTTTGTCGTGTTTGGGGAGCTGGGTCAGAACAGTTGTTGCTAGGAAATTGTTCTTTAAATTATTTGACGCAAGTAAGAAGAATACATAGGTTGTCAATAGGCTCGGTAAATTCTTAAGTACAACATAAAGAAATCATCAGTATCTGAAGATATAATCATTCTTTGCACTTGTGCTTTAGTTCTACAGAGCTCTCTATAATTCTGCAGAACTTTCTATAATTGCAAACAGAAGGAGACAGTTGTGCTGCAATGAAACAGATTTTTATGATTAAAAAGTCACAAGACAGCTATGTTTCTCCCAGCTCTTCTTTCCTTGTATATTTTGACTCAAAGATGTCTATATTAAGGCAACCATAGCTGCATGCAAAACTTTGAATGGAGTAGTAAAAGACCGACAAGAGACATAAAGACTTCTGTTTTGTCCCATCTAAGGGTCAAATGGATTTTTGCAGATAGGTCAGCCCTAGGTGAGACATGCAATTAAATTGTCTGACTTATAAGATCTATAAAATTAGTAAGTGCTTGGTAAAAATCAAATTATGATTATGGCAGGAGAAAACGGGATTTGAACTGTATGCCTCTTAATCCAGTTTTATTGAAGAACTCAACATTTAATGACAAAGTACAGCTATACAATTGGATTTAGGTGCAATTACAAATATCACACGCTTGTACATACATTTAACAGGTTGTTAGGAATTCACTTTCAAACACTCAAGATTTTCACACTACCCTACAAATTGTTACTGTCAAAGTGTTCCATTTTTGGAAACCTTTGCTATCAGTGGAAGAACACAAAAATGAACTTGCAGCAAACACCTAATAATTTTCAAATGATTATTTGACTTTAGCAGAAAGCAGGTAGAATCAAGGAGATGGAAGGCAAGATGAGATAAAAATGTTCATCAACGGGAAATTCTCAACCTGAATGAATGCTGAAGAATTACCTTATTGTCATAACAATAGTTGTAACATAACTATGACACAACAGAAAGGTGGCGTGGTGGTTCAGTAGTTAAGAAGCTGGGCTTGTTGGCTGGAAGGTTCAAGACCCAAGCACCATGCAACAGGGTAAGCTCCCATCCTCACCCCAACCTAGCAGTTCGAAAACATGAAATGCAAATAGATAAATAGGTACCATTTCAGTGGGAAGTAATGGTGCTCCGTGATATCATGCTCAGTGGTGGGTTGCCCCCCATAGTAAAACCATCGGGAGGCCCCATCTACCGCCCTGGATGTTGTCATCAGTGATCTGCGCATGCAGAGAAGCAAGGCGCATGCACAGAAGCAAGGCGCATGCGTGATCCCGTTGCGAACCGGTAGTAAAGGTAAGTAGAATCCACCCCTGGTCATGCTGGTCACATGACTATTTCTTCAGACAGTGCTAGCTAAATGGTCTTGAAATGGAGATGACCACCACCATCCCTATGCTAGTCAACAACTAGCAGAGTAAAATCTGCAAGGACTCCTCCATAACAATAGTAGTGTTACAGCCTGTATCATGGCTAAACTGAAAGTGAATTAATTCATTTGCAGACAAGAGCATGGCACAAATTACTGAACGTAGGCTGGTTCAAGTGCCAACTGTAGAGAAAGCCTTTGTATTTCTTTAGAATTATACTTTCAGGTAGTATCTCATAGTTTATAAAAGAGAACAAAAACACAAACACAAATCAAATATAAACCAAAAATCAACTTCTCCATCATCTAGCACTTGAATTATGTAATTTCTCCTTCTAATCAGTGTATTGAGTAGATTTGACAGGCTCTTTCCTATCTAGCTAACATTGCAAGCTTAACCTTCCAATGGCTCTATGTACTGATACCATACAAGCATGCACAGTTCAACACAAATTATACGGTCGCTTTCCTTTCTTAATTAGGTTATTAGATACTAGTTGGATTCAAGATTAATTTGTACACTTTTAAATAACATTGATTTTTATTAGAGGTGTGCTAATTAAAATAACTGTATTGCTCACTGATATTTCAGATGTCCTACTGTTATATAATTAAAGCAGCAGTCACAAAGAAAAGTTTTTGCCATTACAAAATGCTATTGCTTAAAAAAATGAGATTGTTAAACCAATAACCTAAAAATTTAT